ACTTTTTACTGTAAACTCCATAACAAAGACTAGAGGCCACCACCTAAAACTGGTGGAGAAAACATTTACCCACGAGGAGTGCAGTGGCTTTTTTTCATTTAACGCGATTAAAGTCTGGAACTCGCTGCCACAAGCACTGAATCATTCAAAAAGCATTTAGATACCTTCCTCAGAGACCGTAACATACAGGGGTAAAGGTACTCTTAAAAACAAGGTCACAGGGACTCAAGCACACACATACACATGCACAATCACATACAGACACACAAAGGTTGAACTTGATGGACCTGTGTCTTTATTCAACCTCAAATACTATGTAACAATGTAACATGATTGGGATTTTTAAAGGGAACATGAATTTTCACATGATTGGATACATGAAGTAAATGTTCTCTCAATTTTTTTGAGTGAACAGTAAATCAGCCTCCACATGTTAAATGGGCATGATCATTTTTTGCTTAGCTGAAATTCTGCCTAAATTCTGGACGCATTTGCAAAATTTACCAGGTAATGCATTGACATTATTGGGGAAGGTAAATGAGGGGGGTTTTCAGTGGCTTTTAACGGTGCAATTGGTGGCTGTAAATAAGATTGGTATGGAGGCTCCTTTACATTTTTTATGTATTTTTACTATTTCTTAAAACTTTTTAATTTTTTACTAATTTTATTAGAATATTTTTTTCGAGGAAAAACATCAGATATACAGTACAATGAAAACTTTGGTGATCAACAAAAGCCATGTATCACCCTGTTAGACAAAGCACTGACTTAGGGGGTCACATGGTTTTGTTAAAACACAAAACCATTGATTACTAACACTAAGCTAGTGTTATATAACTTTGTTTGTCAACAAAGCTATATGATTAGACTATACAGCGCCAAGGAAGGCATAACTTTGTTTATAAACAGCATTTGTGTAAAGCTAATTTTGCCTAGCAGTGTTGCATGGTGCTTTCAGAGACCAATTTAGGCAGAATGAAAGTAAAATCCATACGTTCATTGCGAAATTCAAGTTCTGCAAAATCACCGCTCATCCCTATAAGCATCCTAAGCTAGAGTGACAGATACACTGTCTGTCCAAGCAAAATTCACCACCTGGATTTAGCTGAGCAAATAGGTCAGAAAGCTTCTATTGGATAAAAGGCCTAGGTTCAGCAACGTTACGTGCCCCAAAAATGAGGTCTTATGCCTTACTGAATATACTGAATGACCAGGTTCTTCCATCAATTGGTTTTTTCTTACCTGATGGCACGAGCATATTCCAAGATGACAATGCCAGAATTCATTGGGCTCAAATTGTGAAAGAGTGGTTCAGGGAGCATGAGACATCATTTTCACACAGGTCCAGACCTTCACCTCATTGAGAGTCTTTGGGATGTACTGATGAAGACTTTAAACAGTGGTCCGGCTCTCCCATCATCATGGTGAAAAATGAATGCAACTCTGGATATAAATAAATGTTGTGACTTTCCATAAGCTTATCAAAAGTATGTCCCAGCGAATGCCTGCTGTAATCAAAGCTAAAGGTGGCTCAATTAAATATTAGCGTGTGACTTTTTTTTTGCCCAGGCTGTGTGTTTTTTAAAGCACAGTACAAGGCCAGGAAGAAATCTGCCCATGAGCCTCACAAACAACTAGATGGGGAGAGAAGTACAAAAACAGTGCTCCATAGAAGTATCCATGTTTCCTATTCTTCTGACTGCCAGAAATATTCATTAGTTCAGAAGCAATATGATTATCATGAGCAGTGTTTAAAATTGGGATCTTCACATATAATTGTTGGGAAGTCTATGGCCTCCCTAAATTTGATCATATAATACATCTTGCATCAAACTTATGTGATAAGATTTGTTTCCTGTTTTAAAACCACCGAGGATCGTTTTGGAAATATCACTATTGATTTAGGGGGTGCTAGCAATCAAGATACATTCTTTTGTTATACTCAAGATAAGCTGAAGTATGTCAGGAATCGGTAAACACTAGCTGTTATGTAAGACCACGTTATTTAAAGGAGCATTGCTTTACTACATACAGCCTTTATAAGACAACGACTGTCCACCAACCTCCTTCAAATTCTCAACCTGTTTCATCCCTCCTTGTATATTTTATTGGAACTCTTTTACTCCTTTAGTTTGTAATGTCTTGCTGCTTAAAACTTTATGTATAGTCTAAGTCATTTTACTCCTCAATTCCACAAGAATAATTAATCTTAGATCTTCTGGCACCACCCCTTCTTAAAATTCGTTACACAATATACTTAGCATTCTGGGGTTTTAAGAGGCATCGGACATCGTTTTTGTTGTTAAAATCAACCTTGATTTATTCCATAAAAATATAACATAATATTAAAAATACAAATACGAAAAAAAAAATACAAATACATTCTCCCTTGGTTTTTGCCTCCTCCTGACATATACATTGTACACTTTACTGTTTTTATCTTGTACATGTTACATTATGGTTTGGATGTATAGTTTTTCCACTGTAGCATGTGTTGCTTTGCTGCCAACGCATTTCGCAGGTCAGCTTTCTCAAGGGATAGGAGGCAATTTATCTATTGTAACTATACAGTCAGTTTTTTGTGTAGTCATTTCACAATTACATTGCCATTAAAAACACTGTTTTTAATGTTATGTTATATTTTTATGGCATAATCAAAGTTGATTTTAACAACAAAAACTATGTCTGACGCCTCTTTAAACCCTAGAATACTAAGTATATTGTATAGGCTAAATCATGCAAATCGTAGAACAAAAAAGGAAAAAGGAAGCGCCACGACCAGGGAAAGGGATTGTTGTGGACCAATTGATGAAGCCTGGTTGGTTGTTGGAATGGTCCGACTGGCTTGACAGTGAAGTGGAGGCGATCAGGTGCGGTTCTTCCCGGTTTAGGTGGTAGGGGGTCAGCGGGAACACAAGCGGAGAACGATAGAGAGGTGAGAAATCGCACACAATAGAATCAAGGTGTGGAGTGTAGACACACCTGTAGGTAGGTGGAGTGTAGGTGATGGTGGAGATCCAGGGGTCCTGAGTGGTTGGATGAGTTGGTGCGAGGCTTGGGAAAGGCTTGTTGGTGTATAAGGAGGAGTTGTCCATAGGAAGCCGTGATGTGGTAAATAACTGAGGAGAACAAACGTCATCCTGTGCTTAGGTATGTGTGCCAAGGGCTGGGGAACCTATTCCTCGATAGGAACAACCATTAATGCTGGCATGGGGAAACTTGGCTGCGGAAACTTTGCTTCCCCGGCTTGATAAAGAAGCATTTCGCTTTGAAACGCATAGCCGCCTGCACCCTCGCCTGTTAGCCTCAATTGACAAACCGCTCCGACACGTCTTCACCTATCCCCTCCCTTGTATCTCACTCCAGAGAGCCCTCACCATGCTGGTGACCGGACCAGCATTACCAACCACCCTTCACACCGTGCTCTATCACGGAGCCTCGCAGTACAGCTGCTCTCCACACTTCCTCTGCCCCATTCTCGAGACAGGTGCCCTCCCTTTCCTGTCAGTCGAGAGACACACACATGCCGTCCGAGCCGATTGCTCACTGCCCGGCGGCGTGTGCTCACTCATAACAAACACACCTCCACCCTCCAGCTCCCCCCCTTGCCCGCCAGTGGTCCCACAGCTGCATGTCACCCTCACGTCTATTTCTGCAGCCAGGTTTCCCATGCCAGCATCAATGGTTGTTCCTATCGAGGAATAGGTTCCCCAGCTGCCATCAACTCTTGGCACACATACCTAAGCACAGGATGACGTTTGTTCTCCTCAGACATTTACCACATCACAGCTTCCTATGGACAACTCCTCCTTATAGACCAACCAGCCTTTCCCAAGCCTCGCACCAACTCATCCAACCACTCAGGACCCCTGGATCTCTACCATCACCTCCGGCGATGACATCGCTTCTACCCTTACCTAACTGTGAGTCTCTACACTCCACACCTTGATTCTATTGTGTGCTATTTATCACCTCTCTATCGTTCTCCGCTTGTGTTCCCGCTGACCCCCTACCACCTAAACCGGAAAGAAGCGCACCTGATCGCCTCCACTTCACCGTCAAGCCAGTTGTACCATTCCAACAACCAACCAGGCTTCATCAATTGGTCCACAACAATTCCTTTCCCTGGTCATGGCACTTCCTTTTTCCTTTTTTGTTCTACGATTACACGTGTCGGACACCCCGGTCCGTACTATTAGGAAGCTGCACACCACCTTCACCCCTTGCTCACACAAACATTTGGGTGTGTGAACACCCTCTTCAGAGCGCTGGATCTCTGGACTGCCCCTACAATTTTTCACTAAATCACGCAAATCACATACTGTATATTATAAGCATGCTTTTATCCTATGTACAGGTATAACATGAGAGCAGATAAGACAGGTTATTTCTACATGCTTGCATGTTTTTATCATTCACCGCTTTTTCCTGAACAAGCTTTTCATCGATAATAGAAACACAGTTGTTACTTTATAAAGTTTGCAACTATTGTTGCAATTCTATTCCTGCTTACTCTTTACAGACTGTATGTATTTGTATCGTTTTTGTAACTGTTGATAAAAAAAACCCCATAGATAAATAAAGGGGTTTTGTTGTAACCAATACATAGAAGCAACATTAGAGAAAAGACACAAACAGTTAATGTCACTCAACATGAGCTACTCTCTTAATACCTCTTGCTTTTTTATTTCTTTACTACTCGTTGCCTGGCATCCAGTGGTTCAAGTAAATTATTCTTTGTCTTTACACAATTTTATCATAAAATTATTGTGTGTTTCATGTAATCTAAATATTTCCCAAACTGAGTATTCATAAGGGGCATATTTACTATTAGGCACAGTAGCAATCGACTTTTCCCTTTATAGCCATTAGAAGCCCACATTTTTACCCATCATCAGTAATACATACATATAATATAGCTTATTTACATATTATACATTTTTCTTAGCCACATTAGGACCAGTAAAACACACATTTTAATTTATTATTTCATTCCATAGGTCTAACATTATGCCAGATAATGCCTCAGCAAACAACCATGACTTCAAGATGCATACATTTGAACGTGTTGCATCCTGCAAAGTGTGCCAGATGCTACTCAGGTAAGTGATATGCTGTGTTTTAAAGTGACACTAAACTTAGGAGTTAAATCTTAAACATCCATTCAAGTACCTTCACTATTAACAAAGATGTATCTTATTTGTGTATCACTCAGCTGTAGATTCTCAAATCATCTCTGAATTCATGCTGACACTGTCCTTCCTTCTGGAGGGTAGTAACTTTGGTTCCCCATGGTGCTTGCATGTGTTGTAAAGTAGCCACCACTCCAAGCTCGCTCCCATGATGGACTACAATCTCAATACAAAAGAATAAACAAAATGTGAGATTGTAGTCCATCATGAGAGCGAGCTTGGAGCGGCTACTTTACAACACACACAGGGACCATGGGGAAAAAAGTAGCCACCCTCCAGCAGAAAGGGCAGTGTCAGCACAAATTCAGAGATGATTTGAGAATCTACAGCTGACTGATACACAAATAAGCTACATTTTTGTTTATAGTTAAGGTACTTGAATGCATTGATTCATTGTTTAAGTGTTTTATTAGTTTACAGATAGTTTGTGTATGTTGTGGTGATATTTGACATTTTTGGCTTGTATGAATCCTTTGCTTGATTTATTGTCATTTGAGACAGTTTATAGAAAGTAACCTAACACTCATATTATTGTGCAATTGAAACATATACGTGAGGGGTGTAGAGTGGAAATTCAATTGCCATTATATACTTTCTTCACATAAAATACTCTAAAACTGTATATAGGTCTTTACTATGCAATGCAGATGGTTGAATATCAGCACGAGTATGTTTTTTAAGAGAAGATTTAAATATCCATAAATACAGATACCATAAATTCATATGTCAATGTGGTGTGGTTCATGGCAAGCAAAATCACATCATGGCTTCTTATATTTCTGGAGGCTTTTTATATCTGTCATGTTGGTGAGTTATATTGTCTCCACACGTCAGTTCCTATGTCAGTCACTTTAACACAGCTATAACCAAGGTAAATTATGGAGTCCTGCCAGATTGATGAATTCTCTGCGATTAGAAATTAACAAGTAATTGGGGTGTATAGCTGGGAGAATGATGCCTTCATGATGACTTTGATTGCTTTTGTGAAAAGGGGGAAGAGACTCACATTATTGCTTGTAAATATTCCCATTGGGGACTTTGAACAATATAAGAGGCCAGGGGAGGGAGTAATTAAACTTACTGGTGCCTGATGCAAAACTAAGATATCAAATTTGTTTTGAGTTGGTCTATACATGTTCATGCACCTGTCACTGAAAAAGTCCCCCTCACTTTCCTAAGCAACATGTGTGTTATAGTACATATCTCTGATCAGCTGCAACTTAAAGTGACCTGAGCACAAAAAGTAAATATTTTCTATCTTATAGGGAACATCTAGATATATTATTTTGCCCATGTAGTACCATCAGAACCATGACAATCAGTGCCATAGAAAGTCCTATCTTTTGTCTTGATTTTTTCTGAAAAACAGCAGTGCACTTCCTTGTATGTGATGGTGCCTAAGCAATCATGTACCTACAGCCCCATAGCTGTATGTTTCAAGTGTGAGATCTAAGGCACTGCTGCCCCTAACTGCTGGTCTCATGGGATTTGGTGTGAGATTTATTGATGTCACTACTGTGCTACTTAGGGGTCTATTCACTAAGCTGCCATAGGCATCCGAGTGAATGACCGACCTGAAGTGAAGTGAGCCGAACACTGTTTGGCTATTCACTTCAGGTTGGTACGGCTGATTTCAGCTGTACATCGGCTGAAATCAGCCGTACATCGGCTTGCTTCACATGGCTTCGGGTCAGCCGAACATGCTCAGCATGTTCGGCCGACCCAAAGTGCAGAAGGAGTTCGACTTAGAAGATCCCACATCTGGATCGGCTGAGCCAACCCTCCGGCAGGCTACTCACTGCTGTTCGGTCTATTCTCATAGATGCCGAATAGCAGTGAGTGAATAGCCTAATGGCGCTGAGCAGCATTAAGCTCGGCTGTTCTGCTCGGTCCCTCAGAGGGACCGAGCAGAACAGAAAAAGAGTAAAAAAAAGTAAAAAAAAAGTAAATAGAAAACGATTGTGCGGAGCTAGCTGTGACAGCTAGCTCCGCCCAATAGTTTCCTATTGTCCGGCGGCTCTGCTGCCGTCCAAAAAAAAAGAAAACTCTCCCGGGCGCTCTGGGAGCCTCCCGCTCCCGGCCGCCCAGGAGAGAAACACTGCTGTGTCTTTCTTTTTCTTTATTCTGACACAGAGCGATGTCAGAATAGAGAAAAAAAAATCCCATTGAAATACATTGCTACATTACTATTGGCTATTTCAATTTGCAATAGCAATTAGTAAACTAGCATTGTACCCGCCCTCTGCTGATGGACCTGATGGAGAACTGCAGCAGCAGAGGGCGGGTACAATGCCCAGATAGCAAGCAATTGAGCTGCAAGTTTGAAAATGACTTGCTAAACTATTGCAGACTTGCCAAGCTTCACAATTTTGCTGCACAATTACATCAAGTCTGCATTGCAAGTCTCCAGACCAGCGAGCTTGCAGAGCGCTTGCTAAGACCTGCAGGACTCTTGCTGTAGACTTACCAAGCAAATTTGCTACAAATTCAAAAAGTGTCAACTAGAACTTGTGCTGCAAGTGTTCTGCAAGTCTACAACTTGCCAGGAATGTGTGCAGCAAGTTAACAAAAATTACAATTTCACCCTGCCACAAGTTTGTAGCAAGTTTTCCTTGCTATCTGGGTGCTAGTTTACTATTGGCTATTGCAAATTGAAATAGCCAATAGTAATGTAGCAATGTATTTCAATGGGAAAAACATTTTTTCTTCTCTATTCTGACATCGCTCCGTGTCAGAATAAAGAAAAAAAAAGAAACAGCAGGAGACTCCTGGGCCGCCAGGGAGAGTTAGCTGTTTGGAGATCAGTGTCCCTGGTTAGCAGGTAACCAGGGATGCTGATCTCTCTGCAAGTGGCCGGAGCCAGCCGTAAGATCACGGCTGGCTCCGACCCAGCTGTCAGAAGCAGGCTTCGGCTCTCAGCACGGCCCAGCCGCGCCGATGCATATGCGTTCGGCTCGACTGAGCCGCTCGGCCAGTTTCGGGAGCTGTACGGGCTATAGTGAATAGCCCGTACAGCACCCCTTCGGTTCTACTGAACCGAAGGGGTCCTGGGGCCGAAGCTAGCCGAAGGATCGGCCGAAGCTACGGCTAGATCCTTCGGCAGCTTCGTGAATAGACCCCTTAGTGTTCTCCTTGTTGATGGCTTTGAGTACACCTGGCAGGTGATGTGGGATTCTAATACTCCACTTGAAATCTTACCCTGTAGTCTAGTCTTTATCGTTTACAAATACTTTAAATACTGTGATAACAGGAAAACTTGCCACTGATGGGGATAGAACCCTGTGTTATAGATGGGTGACCATTTCACACTCATTCTCTTGTCATTAGTTTACTCTTAATGTAATCATCATCAAAACACATTTTAAAAAAAATTTAAGTATAATTGGAACAGGGTTGATTTACCTTATTTGAAGGCTGATTTATTTTAAGCTATTTTGTGGACAAGCCCAAGGGAAGCTTTATTTTTTTTCTGGAAAATTTAAAACGTCTAGATTTTATAGAACCATAGTTCCAGCATCGCAGTCTCTAGCTGCAAAGATAAGATGATATTTACACAAAAAGCTAGAAAAGCCTGCAGAAAAATGTGATGAATTTAGCTGTCAGAGCGATGTGCAGCGATGACAAGCATTAACCACATAACTTATCCCTAGAGAGCTAAGAGCAGAGGAGTAACGCAGATGGAGACCACCGAGCAGGGAAATAGCTACACACTGTTGGCCTCATGGTTAGTTAACAGCACTAAACATATGTTTCTTATCAAGAATTTAAAGTGTGACATCAGTGGCTGCTTCTCTTGCAGCAAACTCCTCCTGTTCATTGGATGTGCAGAGAAGTAACCAGAAAGAGAGAAAATTACCAGTCTCAGTGACAGGAAGGTGCACTGTGATTCTGCCGCAGTGGTTCTTAAAGGATATGGAAAAGGAGGGATAACCTCTAATGCCACCAATGTCCCTGGGGGCTCATTGTCACATCTGTGACCTCTGCAGCCCTTGATACTGTATTGCTGATTGACTGAGGAATTTTTGCATGTATGCTAGGTGCTTTTAATCATGGTTAGCGTACATTAGCATTTACCTTTAAGTTGAAGTCATTTTAAGTAGCATTTCATTATAAATTTAAACATAACCTTGACAAACTCTTCCGATAATGATCTCAGACGCCTGTTGGTAGTAAGACCAATAGTATGATTTTGTTGTGAAGCCCTTGCTCTCTCCTCCACTGATATGGTGGCTGCTTTGCAGGTGCACAGCAGTGTGATGACAAAGACATACTCTAAGTACAATATTATTTACATCTAACCTATCTTTCACATCTAACCTATCTTTCCTTCTGCAGAGGAACTTTCTTCCAGGGGTATCTGTGTTCCAAATGTCGGACTGGAGCTCATAAAGAGTGCCTGGGCAGAGTGGAGACTTGCGGGCATGCAGGTATGAGATATTGATAGGTAATGCTGCATTTTAATGAGATTGTAAAGCAAAGCAGGAATAATTAAGGTTTATTCCAAGTGTAATGTGTTTTTATTGGCGCACATATACTCTTAGAACTGCCATTTATATGCGCAATTAGAGTAGCATGTGAGATTCATGAGGGCTCTGACCCTCCTTAATTATCATAAGAGTATCAGGGGAGAAAGCCAGGAATTGCTGCCGAAAATAACCCCTTCTCTGCCACATGATGAGATCTTTATCATAAATAGAATGCATGCCTTGTGCTTAGCAAATGTGCAAGCATAATGAGGACTGTGTGCTGTATTTTAATGACTGCTTTGTGTCACACATAATAATAATCAAAAAAATATTGCACTGCATAGTGGTACTGAGTATCACTAAAATATAATAGAGATGTTGTATCAGGACTAAAGGTTTATCATTCACCTTTGGATATATTTGACTATATGGATTTCTTAGGCATTTAGAAGAAACATTTACTAAATGGTATTGCAAAATATTTACACTGCATGTTAGTGCAAGACAATGATAATCTTATGATTGTTGATACAATGTTTGCATTGCATGTTACTTAGACATAACCTGTTCTAACTATAACTACAATTACAATTCCTTAAAGGTACAATTCAGTCAAAATTGCAAATTAAACTTTTATTTCTAAACGCTGTTTATTGCTCTTAAAACAGTTGTACAGCATTCAGAAATGTGTACATTAGGGATGTCCCGATACTAGTATCAGTATCGGGGGCGATGCCCTGCATTTGCCCCGATTCTTATGCCCGATACCGGCCCTTTACATTTTTAAACAGCAGCGGCAGTCCGAGTTCCTGCGCTTGCGGGGACTTCGGCAGCCTGCTGGGGACCTTCAAGTAGCTGTCCATGGCAGTTCCTGTCCGGTTCTGTAGCTCCTCCTTCCTGGCGCAGGCACAGCCATGGGCAGCCCCACACTGTGCAGCAGGGGTTCCTAACCACTGCAGTCTCCTGGGCAGTCCAGCTCCCAATCCAGGGCAGCAGAGGGGCAGCGCGGTCATGCCGGTGCAGAAAGTGGCGCAGCACGGCCGTTTCCATAGAGAGTAGTGCAGCGCGGATCTCTGTCAGTGCAGAGAGAGGAGCAGCATGGCCGTGTCAGTGAGGAGACAGCGTGGCCTTGTGGGGAGTGGATGGACAGACAGCTCTGCACCGAGCCATGTTACAAGGTAATGATTGTTTTAGTGTGTGCAGCCCTCTGTTACATGTTCTCCCTTCATATTACACCCACAGCAGCCTGGACTCCTCCTCTCTGCCCTGTGTTATTGTATCTGCACCTCACTAATCACTACCACCCTCTCCCTGCCACCACATCACATCTGTATTGTGCTCTGGGGGACATCTGTATTGTGCTCTGGGGACATCTATATTGTGCTCTGGGGGACATCTGTATTGGGCTCTGGTGGACATCTGTATTGTGCTCTGGGGACATCTATATTGTGCTCTGGGGGACATCTGTATTGGGCTCTGGTGGACATCTGTATTGTGCTCTGGGGACATCTATATTGTGCTCTGGGGGACATCTGTATTGGGCTCTGGTGGACATCTGTATTGTGCTCTGGGGACATCTATATTGTGCTCTGGGGGACATCTGTATTGGGCTCTGGTGGACATCTGTATTGTGCTCTGGGGACATCTATATTGTGCTCTGGGGGACATCTGTATTGGGCTCTGGTGGACATCTGTATTGTGCTCTGGGGACATCTATATTGTGCTCTGGGGGACATCTGTATTGTGCTCTGGGGACATCTATATTGTGCTTGGGGGGACATCTGTATTGTGCTGGGGTGACATCTGTATTGTGCTGGGGTGACATCTATATTGTGCTCTGGGGGACATCTGTATTGTGCTGGGAGGGACATCTGTATTGTGCTCTGGGGACATCTATATTGTGCTTGGGGGGACATCTGTATTGTGCTCTGGTGGACATCTGTATTGTGCTCTGGCCGACATCTGTATTGTGCTCTGGCCGACATCTGTATTTAGCTCTGGAGGACATCTGTATTGTGCTGGGGGAGACATCTGTATTGTGCTGGGGGAGACATCTGTATTGTGCTGGGGGGACATCTGTATTGTGCTGGGGGGCATCTGTATTGTGCTCTGGTGAGAAACTGTTGTTTTAGCAAAAATGTGACATGTCCCTTTAAGAAAAGTATCGGTAATTGGTATTGGCAAGTACCTGAGGGCAAGTACTTGTACTTGGTCCTAAAAAAGCATCGGGACATCCCTAGTATACATATTCAGTTTGTGTAAGTATGAAAGACAATCAATAAAACAATAAATACAATCATAAAATAACTGAACAGACTTTGACTGCCTCAAGTACATACTTTTACCATAACAATTGATAGATATACCCTTTTAAGATAAATTTACAGTGGGCTTTTAAGGTTTCATAAAGAGTCAAAGTGGTTTCATCTTGAAGTAAGTGTAGATTCACACCATTACTCCCAAAGTTTATTAAATTTAGGAGGACAGTTTCTCCTCCCATACAAAACTTTCCCATAGGGATAATATGATTTACTAACACATTCCACTGGTATATAAGCAGTATATAAAAATAGGTCTGGGAGGGTCATTCTTTCCTTGTCTTAGGCCTCTGTAATATGATCATTTTTATTTTGGTCCAATAGTGACCCACACAAAAGAAAAAAATACAGGACTGAATTCTATAAACAAAGATCTCAATGCTGTCACAGGCATGTGAGTGAGTACATAGAGACACTTAAGAAAGAGAATAATTTTAATAATAAGATGTTTCTGCCTACCACAGACCGTGGTAATCATCAAGGAGCTGATATTTTCCAAAAGGGCCAAGGAAAGGTATTTACTGATTACAATCCCCAGGTCCTTAAACAACGATATGATTTTAAAAGGAAATGAAGTCTGGGTAGTACTTGGGGGTCTTAAGGAAATAGGCATAAGGAGTAATTTTTTGCCATTTAATTTTCAGGCTGGAGTAGTCACCAAATTCTTCTATAGAATCTATTGCAGAAGTTAGGGAAGGGTCTGAATCATGAAGAAACTATTTTAAGTCATTGGCATATAGCCCTTTAAGTTAATTTCTCCTGCCAAAGTGTGATAGCATTGAAATGTTTCATTTGTCGCACCCTAATGGCTAAGGCCTCAGCCACTCAGGTCACTATCTGCAAAAGGAGTTTGCATGTTCTCCCTGTGCTTGGGTTTCCTCTGGGTACTCCGGTTTCCTCCCACACTCCAAAGACATGCTGGTAGGTTAATTGGCTCCTGACTAAATTGGCCCTGTATATGAGATGGGGAGCTTAAAAGCTCCTTGAGGGCAGGGACTAATGTGAATGTGCAACTATGTAAAGCGCTGCATAAATTGTCGGCGCTACATAAATACCTGTAATAAATGAATAAATAAATAAATAAACTGCCATAGCTAATAATAGCTTAGACAGGGGACATCCCTACCTCATGCTCCAGTAGAGGGGAAAATAAGGCTCCCACTGATGCTAACGATGGAACATATTTTAGTCACACTGATATCAACGCTGAGACATATTTTATCCCACTGACACCAAGAATGGGGATTATTTTACTCTCACTAACACCAAAAAGGGGCTTATTCTACTCCCACATTCACTTCAGTGTACATCAAGGCCCTATTTTGTCCTAAACATTGCTTACGTTGTTTAGGATCTCTTGTCCTCTATTATCATTATTACCTACAATCTACCTTTAACCCCTTCGTGACGGGAGACGTACACTGTACGTCCAGCCACAAAGGGACCAAATGACTTGTCACGTACACTGTACGTGACGAGTTATTTGCTGCTTTAGAGGGCTGTTAATCGCTGAGAATCAGCTTTTAACATTCATCAATGGATGCCCTTACTACAGAGGCATTCATTAATGAAAGGGTTAACCTTTTTCAGACACCCGATACCTTAATATCGGGTGTCTGAGAGTCAAAGCAAAGCGGACACAGATGCCGGCTTTTGCCGGCATTCTGACAGCTCGTATAGATCGAGAGATATCTCTCTCAAGCTATACTGGCTTTTTTTTTTTTCTTTCATGAATAGATACAAAATGTGTCTATTCCTACAATGTATCTATTCCTGGAAGAAGAATGTTTGTTTGCTGATCGTTGTTGCAACAATCAGAAAACATTTAGTAACAGCTGAATCCTGAACTGCTGCAGGATCAGTGTCACTAACTTATTATCGGCTGTTCTGAAGTTTGAAGCAGCCTGATAATAACCAAAAATTTATTAATTTATCATGCAGTAACAGTGAGATTAATTCACAAAATCTGCTTGATATAATTAAATAAATAAAATAACATTTTTAAGTTAAAAAAAAAAGTGAAAAGTGTAAAAAAAAAAAAAAATTGTGAAAAGTGTAAAAAAAATAAAAAAATGTGTAAAAAATAAAATAAAATAAGGGACAAATAAATGAATGTATTTATTGCATTTTTTTAGCTGTGCTGGTTTTGTAAAAAAAATACTACAAATCAAAACTGGGGAAAAAGTGTTTTTTTTAAACGGTTTTTTCCTCTTTTTTATATTTTATTTGTCCTAAGTGAGGCGTTAGACGCACATATGTGATATAAATATGTAGCCCTATCTGTCCTCTAAAAAACAATATATAATATGTGTGGGTGCACTTTGTAAGAAAGTATATTACTGACGTGGAAGAATCACACAGCAAAAATGTCAAAAGTGTGTCAGTCATTTACGAACAGAAACTAAAAACAAGCTCAGTCATGAAGGGGTTAAATGTAATTCTGGCCCTTTGTGTACTTTTTAAAATGCCAAATCAAGCTGACAAAAGAAGTGCAGTGGCTGCTGAAATAGGGAAACGGTCCGAATATGATTAGCAAATCATCATATCACACAAGTCTCCTCTATGCATGGTAGTGCCATATTTATTCTAAACATGTGTAAGCTGTATGCTGTGCGCTATGTTCAGCCAGGCAGAGCTATTCAGCACAGAGGCCACTGCAAACACAAGCACTGGTTATATAAAAAATACACGTAGGCAGCAAAAGTAACATAAGGGTTTTCCATTTGACTGAAATGTCTCTTTAAAATGAAGAATAGGCAGTTTTGCAATACATTTTACTATACTAAACAGGCTTGTCCTTATTTCTTTTTTTTTTTCCTATGCAGTTTTTGTATTGCTCTGTATAGGACCTGGTCAAAATCCCACAGAAATTAATCAGATTTTAGTTAAATATTTCCTGCAAAATAAGCATAATGTATGAGTGTATCAAAATGTAATCTGTTATTACTCAATCAGTGCAATTTTAAATCTGAACTGCAATTAGCCTCAATTTAAGCTTTTTAGTGCTGTAACAAAGCGATGGTTATTAGTTTATAAAATATATGTGAAGGGCGCAGATGTCCTTTTTAGAATGTGTCAGTGTTAAATTTATTTTCACCCTCAGTGATCTTTCCCTCGGTGCCCTTTTCAGCTTTCCCAGTTGCAGCATGCCATAGGTCTGTAATACAGGCAGCATGAAAAATAAGCCTGTCAGAATGTACTAGTTACCTGACAGCAAGAGAGATCAGGTACAGGTATGCGACCGCCCCCTTATCCTTTTACAATGACTGAATACACCCAGCACAGGAACGCTCTGCTTTCTCTACACACCTGCAGTTCTTTCTTATCTTTCCACTTGTAATGCCGATTTTCAATTTTTTTCCAGACTCCGGGACTCTGAGGCATGGGGTAGGTTTGTTTTATTCTCCTTCCAGTATTATTTGTAAAACAACTTACCAGCATACACTCTGTAAAAGGGCAATTGTAGGTGTTTTGTGGAACATAAACATTCATGTTGATATATTCAAACTGTAAGAGGGAATATAATGAAATCAAACGACTGTTGATTTGTAACCATTTAAAACAAGTGTGCTGTGCTTTTACATCCTTTTCACTCCTTTTATAATTTATTAGAAAGAAACCCTATATGGCCCTGATTAATCATATTGTAATATCACCTAAAGTGATACTAAATTCAGGAGTTAAATCTTAAAAATGCATTCAAGTACCTTAATTATTAACACAAATGTAGCTTATTTGTGTATCACTCAGCTGTAGATCCCCAAATCATCTCTGAATTGGTGCTGACACTGTCCTTCCTTCTGGAGGGTGGTTACTTTTGTTCCCCATGGTTCCTGTGTGTGTGTCGTAAAGTACCCACCGCTCCAAGCTCACTCCTGTGATGGACTGCAATCGCAATACAATTTAATAAACTAAATATGAGATTGTAGTCCATCATGGGAGTGAGCTTGGAGCGGTGGGTACTTTACAACACAGAAAGGGACCATGGAGAACAAAAGTAGCCACCCTTCAGAAAGAAGGACAGTGTCACCATTAGGGCTGCAGCTAACGATTATTTTCATAATCGATTAGTTAGCCGATTATTGAGTTCGATTAATCGACTAATCGGATACAAAAAAAAAAAAGGGTTCAGTGATGGACTACTAGACCAGAAAACGGCGTCGCGTGACACCAGCGTAGGCGCGAGCGGCTTAACTGACGTGGGCGTGGCGTAAGCGGCGGGCGTGAGCGGCGTGCAGTGGCGAGCGGGAAATTTGAATTTTAACCGATGAATCGATGATGGAAAACGTTGGCAACGTTTTCCATCGTCGATTTTAATCGACTTAATCGAATAATTGTTGCAGCTCTAGTCACCATGAATTCAGAGATGATTTGAGGATCTACAGATGACTGATACACAAATAGGATACATTTTTGTTAATAGTTAAGGTACTCAAATGCATTTTTAAGATTTAACTATTTAGATTAGTGTCACTTTGAGGAGGGCTAAATAGTTCTTAAAGTGCAACTGAAGCCAAAATGTTAAGTTTTAAATAGAGTGGAGAGGGATTAGAACATCTCTCTGAGTTTTATTGTCTGTGTCCGCTGCATGGATCTTCACACTATCTATTTGTCCTGGTGAAGAAAATTTGTGGTGACCCTGATGACCACTGGGATTTCCCTTTTTTTGGAGGGATTTCCTCCTACTTTCTGTTGTGGCTTTCGGACAGGTTTACCCCCTCTATTTGTCCTGGTGACTGGTGACTATTATCACTGAAAGTGAAAGAAAATCCAATTTTTCGGGTTGCCATCAGAACTGTAATACATGGAAAAAATTTCTAATGGGGATGTTAGTTCTGGTGATCCTTCTCACCATGGATCTCTATCTCTTTGGAGGGTTTTGCTCTCATTTCCCGTTTTGGCTATGGGAGAGAAAGTGAAAGGAAATCTCCCCAATGGGACACAGATAGCAAAAATAAAAACGTGCGACGTGGGTTATTATTATACAGGATTTATATAGCACCAACAGTTTGCGCAGCGCTTTGTTATAACCCTCCCTTACTTTTTTCAAAACTACAAAAATGTTTTGGCTTGAGTTACTTTAAGGCATTCAAAATGACAAATGATAACATTGGTTAGGAGGCCAAGATTTTGCAGCTTGATGAATAATCGTCATATGACTCACAGTACCATTGCTAAAGTGGGTTTGTTAAATGTTTGAAAGTTTGTCAGTTTTAAAAAAGTATTTATTAAAGACTAATATGTTTTAAACTGGAACCAAAGTCCACAATGCCTCTGCACCTATGATGCAACACCTGCACATGCTCACTGGAGTTCATTCATCTCTGCACCTGATGGATGCAGGGATTATATGTTGAGCTAATCATGCACAGCTAAGTGCACACTGTAAAGTAGGAGGAAAGTGATAACAGACATAGTATGTGTCTTTTTTTGCTAAAGTTCCAGTGGAAAAAGATAGCTTCAGTCCCTATAATGGTGCCTTTGGGTGGGCATAGATAGACATAAATCACCCTGGAAACCTGAGTCAAGTAGATTTCTGCTCTTACCAAGCAAGTCACTAGAGTCAGGAACCTTCCAAAATTCTTGCTGATGCTGTACTCATTTTTTTTGTTTGAAAATCTCCCTTTATTTTTTATAAGCAGTCAATTACAGTTAATCAGATTTGATTTATTACAGGTATTTATATAGCGCTGTGAAATTGAGCAGCGCTTTACATACTGTATGTTGACATCAGTCCCTGACTAGAAGGAACTTACAATCTAAGGTCCCCATCTTGCATGCATACATACACATCCTAGGACCAGTTTAGACAGGAGCCAATTAACCTACCAGCATGTCTTTGGGGTGTGAGAGGAAACCTTATTAGCTAAATGAAAATAGTGATTGTTGAGAATGGGATATATTGGTTATAAATGATTTTCAAACACGTTTGAAAACAATCCTCAGTAGATTGCCATTTTCAACTGATGATCAATTCAAGTGGTAATTTAGAGTATAGCACAGTTATCACCAGAAAGTGATTAGAAACAATGACCGTTTCCTAAAATAACCACACAATCTCTTCCTTTTATTTGGCTACTTACAACCATACTGATAATGCATAGATAGTGAATTTGTGTTGAGCCTTCTTGTGAAATATTTTCAGTGTATGGCTGTACATGACAGACAAGCCTCCTCCTCGGGGTGTTCTTTATGTTATTCATGCTTCTGACGTCTACTCATCGACTCCTGCTGTTAATCTGTGGAAAGACACCCTTGGGCAACAGACAGGAACAGCGTGCTCACTTGTAGCTTCATCCGCATCTACACTATGGAGCATGCAGATATTGTTTCACAGAACACGCAAGAAAATGTTACAAAATATACAACTTCTTTTAGTTAAGAAACATTAAATGCAAATAGTCCAAAGACTACTGGATGCATTTTACAAAGGCTCTCACATTATTATTACAAGAGTATTTATTTAATAGGCACTGCATTACAAGATTGCTTACGGTACAGGAACTGTAAATATGTCAAAGTGTCATGTTTACCAAAACTGAAGATATGACAAATGAGCTACCCCTGCACTGCAAGGGTTAAGGGCTGGTTTTTGTCTAGGTTCAAAAATAAACTTGTACCCACTTGATCCTTGGAGCTGGCTTGTTCTTAGACCACTCCCTATCTCCTGTCCCCTCCTCCGCTGCAGCGATGAGGCTTCCTTCAATCCTATACGGTGTATAGAAAGTGATGACTCATGGGACCTTAGACCGGTCCCTTCCGCTTCGCTTCCCCTCCACTGCTGCAGTCTAAGAGCAAGCCGTCTTGGAGGATCGGGTAAGTATAACTTGTTTTTTTTTAACCTAGACAACAATTAGCATTTCATTCCTGCTTTAAGGCAGATCTAAATCTAGTCATTCAAATCTGATCTGAAATAAGCTTAAATTTTAAAATGTTATTTGAAAAACCTTTATAAAAATAGTACTTGTTCAGCCTTTTCCTGTTATTGGGTTACAACTATCTCCCAAATATGCTCTTGCATTGTCACCTTGTCATAAGCTTTCCTTGTACAGACTACAAGTGGCTAGGCTGACACTCATTGGACAGGCATGGTCCTCTGTTGTTTCATCTTCTTTCTTTCAGAAAGATGATCCAGAGGAATAATGTGCATCCACCAACGGAGCAAGTGCATGTAGGCAGAAAGTGGCTGTAAAAGCTGCAGGAGGTCAAATAGCACTAATGCAAAAAGGATGAGAAAAAATAAAAAATAACATTTTATATGAAAACATGGGAGTTGTTTATGCTCTGCATGGCTTTAGCAATTTCAATGTCTTCCTTTTAGGGTTTAGATCTAATTAAAGGCTATTTTATTCTATTATCAAACACCCTTCTCTCAAGTATCAGTATAGTTTTGTTCCTAATCTTTGAAAGTTAATTGTTTTTGTATACACACAGACAAAAACAAATGGGCTTTATTAATTTAATTGGGTTGCAGCTGCCCATAAGAACTAATCAGAAGTCGGCTAACACAAATTTAGTGTCCATGCATTAGTAAAAGCCAACCTGTGTTTCTTTGGTTATTTTACACCACCAATGTATGTCATGTAATTGTTATTTGGTTGAATCCCCCTTAAGCAATCAGGCACCCATATACACACATAACTTGATTTTGTTGAAAGGTTACAAAATGTCAAAATAACTCTGAGTAGGAATGACACTGTACAGCTGGTTTTATATCAGGATTCTTGGTATCAGTGGAAATGAATAGCTTAAAATGAACTGACTTTCTACCTTTACATTTTTTTGTAGAAAGAAAATGTGCCTGGGAAGAAATTCAAATACATAGATTCAGGTTGGTTCTAGAAATGGGTCTGTATTACCCAAAAGGTTGTCTTTCCATTAATTAGCCAAACCAGTGTTTATTTTTCAGTTTAGTTTAAGAACATTGTTTTGTAAAAGTGTGTCTATACAAACTGTGATCTGATATTAAAAATAATAATTGGTAACAATGTAATTCAGTGCATCTCTAGGGAAAACCCTTTTTTTTTTTTAAACTTTGGATTTGGGATGCACCGATACCAAATATTTGGGCGATTACTCGTACAAATGCTCCGATACTTACCTCCGATACTGGAACTTCTGGTCAGACAGAGATTTCCCTCTGATCAGCAGTGCTGAGGCAGCATGAAGCCGGCTTCCTTTCCAATCAGGAAGCCGGGAGGTGAGTTATGACCCGCCTCCCGACTTCCTGGTTGGCTAGGAAGCTGGCTTCACTTGTTGCTAGGCAGCCTGGCTTCCTAGCCAATCAGGAAGCCAGGCGGTTTTTCTACTAGAACACCGGCTTCACAGGCTATCAGAAAGCCTGTGATGGGTCATGATCTGCCGTCTGAGTTCCTGATAATCGGGGCACGAGGCACTGCTACTCGGTATCGGCGAGTACCAAAACAAAAATATTGGTACTCATACTCGATACCGGAAAAACGGGATCGGTGCATCCCTACTTTGGATAGAGTGGGGAAGGGTTAGACCTCTGAGAAGTTTTTATTGCTGTCTGAGTCCCCATTGGGCAAATGTACCCCTCTATTTGTACTGGTGGCCATTGTCACCAAGAAAGAAAAAGAGGGGAAATCCAAAATTTTAGAATTGTCACCAGAACAAAAGGTAAGAGATCATTCAATGGGAACAGGGACAACTGTCTAAGAGGGGAAATTGCCTACCTTTTGGAGATTTCCTTCAACTACCTATTGCGTCTCTAGGTAAGGAATCGAAGGGAAGTACCCTAATAGTACAGAGACAGAAAAAAAAGTAACAATAAACCGACAGGTTTAACCCTTTCCTTACCTGTTGAAAGCTAAAAAAAAAAAGTTTTGACTATACATCGGGGCTGTTTAAACAGACTCCCGGCAGCTTTTGCCAGCGGGAAGCTGTTTAGACTTGTAAAGCCAACTGTTGGCTTTACAGTAGAAGCTGCTGCCAGATCGCTTCTACGGGCTGGTGAACGCTCCCCCCCAGTATCTCTAAACTGATGACCTGCGGGGGATTTTAAAGCGTCGTCTATGGACTTTTTGGGGTACTGAAGTTTGTTGCCGTTTCACGGACACACACACTTTTGAACTTGGGCATGTTTGGTTTCTATTTACTCGTTGTAGCCTCTTTGTTTATATTTTATTTTTAAAAATTGGTATTTTATTGTGTTTTGGGGCATTTAAGTGCATTTTCTCTAAAATGTGGGGTTTGATAATATCGTGCAACATAAGAAATCGCAACTGCCAGCATTTTTTTCTACAGGGTCTTGGCTTTCAAAAAATATATAATGTTTTGGGGTTTTAAGTAATTTTCAGGTCTAAAATGTGGAATATAACAAAAAAAGAAAAAAAAAAAAAAGGCCTCAGTCATGTTGGGATTAATAGCCAGTTTTCCTGGATCAAATCTGGGCAGTCTAGCCTATTATTCTCCATGTAGCAGGAATTACTTTGTCCTACCATGTCCTACCAGTGTACATTTACTTTCCAGCTGTATCTGTTTACTATGGCATCATGCTGTACAGAATAATATTTCCAATAATATTAAAACTGATGGGTTGATCTAAAACAACAAAAAAACTGAACTATAATCCCTTCTAAAGTGGATGGACTTCATTTGAAACCTTTAAAGCTTCAGGATTCAGAAGAAAGTGAAGCCCTATTCAGATTACTCCATGGGAGAAAAACCGGGAGGAGGAGAGCCTGGTGTGCTGATCTGCACCTGGTCAGACCGGGTGACTATTATCTCTTCCACATTGTAGCACAGATAATAGTTCATAGGTCACAGAAACTGCTACATTCCTGCCACTAAAAGCAATTTGGAATTTTCCAGCTTGAGGTGCACATGTTGGAAATCATCTGTAACATTGGCACACCATGTGAATGATTTGGCACAGTGTGCATCACATCTGCACCAAAAAGTCAGATCAACAGTTGTTTATTAGGCCCAGTGTCCTCCAACATTTAAATAAAATGTAGTGTAGGGAGTGCTATTGCTTTTAGTCTGAAGGAGAACGACTAACCATATTAACAAACAAGTAATCACCCATTTTGCAAGAATATGCACCGACAATTTTCTGTTAGTTCAGTGGATTGCATTTCATTTTTAATCTTTCTTTTGTTTTGACCCTGTCTCAAAAAACATTTTTTTTTGTTAACCCAGTATTATTTGAACAAAAAAATTCTATGTGATCGTGGTTCACAATGAAGATAATAACATTATACAGTATCCACTTCTCTATTAACCCTATATTTCGTGAACAACTTGTGTCCATGGGTACTGGCTTTCTGGTTACTTTAGGTTTCCCCCGCCACATAGTAAAATGAATGCAGATCACAAAATATGTAGGGCTCATTGAACTCTATGGTTAACACACATACGAGTATAGATGAGTAGATTTGTTTGCTTTCCATTTTTTGCTGACGTTGAAAGACCTTGTATGCTGCCAGCAGATGAATAGAACTTAGTACACATGGGACTCTGTCTCGTAGTAGGAGGCCATGTACACATGCTGTTAATCCACAGAGAAAGCACTGCACATGACTGGAAAGTATGGGAATCCATTGGGAGAGTTACTGCGACCAGCTAGGTTAACTTGCAAACATTAATTCATGGCAGATGCAGAAAACAGTACATTGGCTGAACAGTTTGTTCAAATTAAAAACAGTTTGAGATATTTAAAGCAAAGACAGTTATAAAATATTCAAAATAAACTCAGATATGTATTTATTACAAAAATCCTTCCATGTTTTTTATATAATTCCTCAGTCTATCTTTATTTTAGTCTCTTGTCCAGCATGATTCAGACTGAGAGAGGAAGGGGCATTGCTGCAAGCCAATTACGCTTTACTATATTGCACAGCACACAAAGAGCTGACTAATGGGATTGGGTAGCCCCACTACGAGGGTTAATTTAAAAAATCCCTGGAGTTCTTCTTTAAGTTCAATTCCAGCTATACAGATTGGCACAATGTTCCTGACACGTAGCCTCTTGCTTCTGGAATTTTTTTAATATTCTCAGTTTAAAAGGCGAAGAAAACTGTCCTGCCACATGTCGTGGAATATTACTTTCAAAGGTTTTTGGGTATCAATCATAAAAACATCAAGAACTTTAAAATTACTTCAGTTTTCACAAAATCCTTTGTGAAGCTTAGGGTACAGATGCTGTGGTCTGAAAACCAAAAACATCTTTTGACACCCACAGTGCTGTGCACGTGCATGGATTTGAAACAAGCCGCATACTAATATTTCTATACAGAAATGATTCCTACATTTGTTAATAGATATCTAAGGGTTCTCAGGCTATGCATTTGTTAACTTTGTTGATTTGTTGATGCTTAGGTTCTTTTATGAAAACTGTGCCTGAGCAGGCAAATACGTCTATACACTTTTAGCAACTGACTAATGAAACCAGTTCCAGGTGACTGTATGTACAGTTGTGTGAAAAAGTGTTGGCCCCCTTCCTGATTTTTCATTGTTTTGCACGTTGTCACACTTTAATGTTTCAGATCATCAAACAAATTGAAATATTAGTCAAAGATAACACAAGTAAACACAACATGCAGTTTTTAAAGGAAGGTTTTCATTATTAAGGGAAAACAAAATCCAAACACAAAAGGCCCTGCGTGAAAAAGTGTTTGCCCCCCTGTTAAAACATAACTTAACTCTGGTTTATCACACCTGAGTTCAATTTCTCTAGCCACACCCAGGCCTGATTACTGCCACACCTGTTCGCAATCAAGAAATCACTTAAATAAGACTTGACTGACAAAGTGAAGTAGACCAAAAGATCCTCAAAAGCTACACATCATGCCGAGGTCCAAAGAAATCCAGGAACAAATGAGAAGGAAATTAATTGAGATCTATCAGTCTGGAAAAGGCCATTTCTGAAGCTTTGAGATCTGCAGGCCTCATTTGACTCAGTTCAGTGTTCATGACTCCACCATAAGAAAGAGACTCTGCAAAAATGGAGTTCCAAGACGAAAACCGCTGCTGAGCAAAAAGAACATAAAAGCTTGTCTCCGTTATGCCAGAAAAATCTTGATGATCCCCAAGACTTTTGGGAAAATACTCTGTGGACTGACGAGACAAAAGTTGAACTTTTTGGAAGGTGTGTGTCCACTTACGTCTGGCGTAACAGTAACACCGCATTTCAGAAAAAGAACATCATACCAACAGTAAAATATGGTGGTGGTAGTGTGATGGTCTGGGGCTGTTTTCCTGCTTCAGGACCTGGAAGACTTGCTGTGATAAATGGAACCATGAATTCTGCTGTCTACCAAAAAATCCTGAAGGATAATGTGCGGCCATCTGTTCGTGACCTCAAGCTGAAGCGAACTCGGGTTCTGCAGCAGGACACTTTTTCACACAACTGTATATACAGTATACTAATAGCTAAAACACTATGTCCATAGATTGTTGTTGTGCAACTCCTAGTCTACTAACAATTGATAAGGGAGTAATCTTTATTATTAATGTTGCCTGGTGGCTTACTTAATCTCAGATGTTGCTCGTTACCCTTTTGCAAAACATAAAACGCATTTCTTCTGTGATCGGGTGTCTTCACTGCACAGATATAGCCAGAACACAACTTGATGTACTGGCTGGGTGCAAAAAGCACAGTGAGGAAATAGTCATTCCATGTTTCAACAATCGTACCTCCAGAGCAGACTTCTCAGTTGTGTTTGCCAGCCCCTGACAATAAGAAGAGGCTTATTGGAGTACTAGAACAGTCTTTGTAATTATTTTGTGGTAAAGTATGTCTCAGATTCTAAGATCTGCTATATTAACTCAAGTTGTCAAAATCAACTTTTTAAATGATCTTTTTTG